GGGAGAGCTGCCCCCACCCACCGTCGGGGAGAAGAAAAAAAAACAATTTGTCAGGGAGAAAAAAATATATAGGCCTATGTATTTCTACATATTTACTAGACTCTAAAATCGGTCAAATAAGCCTTTGAATCCCTTAATTGGGGTTTCCCCCCTGAACCACTTTTGAAGGATTTTGAGCGACGTCCGACCAGCCCACTTTGCTCTTGTCGGGGTATCCCCCCCCCCTTTCGGGCAAATCCTGTTGCCACCCCTGAAGGCAACTCGCGACGAGGCGCTCGGCTGCCACTGTCAATCCTCAGATGATGTGGGTCGTCAAGCACTCAGCGCGAGATACGGTAGTGGAAGATGGATTCGTCAACCAAACGCAGCGTGTGTGCCCGGTTTTGTGTTTATGACAATGAAATTGACTTACATTCGTTGTTTCCTATATTAACTTTAGCTACAACATTTCCCACTTCTGTTAAGTATACAACAATATATTCTTGTTGAGCAACATCACGAGCGCTGCGGACGTAGGCCATTACACCGGATCCTCCATTTGTGCTAAACGATATCAAGAAATAATCAACTTCAAGGCTGGCTGTGTCAGGAGTAGATGGCTGATTTAGCTTAGCTAGGATTCCTGTTGAATCATGAAAAAATGCTCCGATTTCTGCAAAAAAAAAAATTTAAAAAATAAAAACCAAACTAATTTAAATCTGTCAACGGGACGATATCCGTATAATTATCAGTTTTGAAGTTTTACATTCCTAGTAACTTATTGATTATTTTTAATATTAGTACAAAGGTTCAGACCGGTCCGACAACCCCAGAATGCCCTAGGCCCCTTGTTTACGGCTACGTTTACGTAGGTACATCCTGCAATGGAATTCATGATCCAATCTACTCGTCTCGAAAGATGTACTGGGTTTATAATCCTTATCGGAGAAGACATGTTCTACCACCAGAACCATAGGCTATCGTGCCGCTCGAATTAGCGCTGATATTACGGTTGCTGTAATTGCAGCGCCCCTGCCTCAAGCCCGTGGCCAGGGGGTTCGTGGGGTTTGAAAGAACCCCCATTTTTCAGAAATGCCCTTTTAAATTTTGTTTTTTAAAAGTATTATTTACATGGAAGTCAAAATATTTGAAATTTTTTATTGCCATTTCGGACATCTGAGGTGTTATATTATTTA